TTCAAAGCCATGTACGGAGACAACATCTCGGCACCGGTACTTGGTAACATCAGCCCCGGTTGTAGTGTTCTTCAAGTCAACGTCCTCAATAGTGATGTCTTCACAGCCGCCCGAGCCTTGGCTGCAGTTCATATCCGCAACGTAAGTAGATGCGCCATCGCCGACCCAGTTGCGGATCGCCATGTCTGAGATCTTGAAAGTACTGCTTTCGCAGTCTCCCTGTTGGCCACTGAAGCTAGTACATTGACCAATGAGAAAAGGTGCCTCTCGTGTCGCAGTGAGGTCAAAGTCATAGAGGGCTAGAGATGCTATTAGTGTATTCCTACATATGTATTTGGAAGGCTCGTGTAGTAATGACATGGTGACTTACTCGCATTCTTGAGGTCTTGGATCAGATCAATTAGCAAGTCTTGTTCAGGTTCAAAATGAAAGCTTGGAAGCTTTCTAGGCTTTCTAGGATTCACTCACATCCAACACCGCCTCCACCTCCATTAGGGGGGTAGGAAACCTGATCTCCAGTCCACGTCTTCACATATGCGCCATACCGAGTCCCCAAGCCCTTGATACGCCTCACAGTCACGTTTTCAACGCGCTCGAACTCGTTCTTATACTGGCCAAGACTGCCAAAGGCTATGCCCAGAGAGTGATCCATGGTGGAGTCTTCAATGAGGATGTTGGTAGAGTTGCCTTTAATGGCAATCGCATCGTCGCCATTTCGGATGTACATATTGCGGAACGTGATGCGGTCCGAGTCAATGGTGTCTGCGCCGTCCGTGTTCCTGGCAGGGTACCCGTTGTTGGTAGTGCTGTTGATGTATACGCCGTCGAATAGCACGTTCTGCGAGTGCATTATTGCCATGGTCCACATCTGACTCTGGACCATGCGTACGTTTCTCACTGTCATGCCTGACGCCTTCCAGATTGCTAGGGCATGAGGGCGGTCGGGGTAGTTGGACTGGCCTTTGACTAGGTTGTACCTGAACCGAGGGTGTCAGTACGAGTTGGACGGATCTTGTTGAGAATCGAGATACTGACCAGGTCTGTCCGTTACCGTCCAAGGTTCCATATCCAAAGCCGTCAACTGTGATGTTCTTCCCGCCCAGGAACCACGCCGCAGAGCCGTTTTGGAAACCGGTCGGCTGCGGGTTACTGAGCCAGTAGTCGGTGTCTTTGCTCCACTACGTATCAAGCGGAAGTGATCAGTACGTATAGATGGCTCATGACAGGAGTAGTGAGGTTATCTAATCTCACCACCAAGGTCCCATGGATCTCGATCTGGGTATTCTCCAGATCAGTCGTGGTCATCATCTTTTCAATATTGTACGTCGTGTTGGAGAAGACGATCCGGCGATTCTTACGGCATTCCTTGAAGGCTGCGAGGATGGCTGGGGAATCATCGGAGCCGTCATTGTTGGCCTCAACGGTACAAGTGTAAACGGCTCTATCTTCGAGGACGTTGTTCGGAGAAGCCAAGACTGTAGAGGAAAGGCCATGTAGGGTGAATAAAACCACGACCCAACTGACGTCAAGATTGGGGAGCATCGCGGCAACTGGAAGTCGAAGTTGAATCGATGGGGATTTGAAGACGACTCAAGCAGAGAATAGTGCTATCCGGTCGGTACAACTTATACAACTATCGATAGCCAAAGACATGGCGACGATCATCGAGAAGCATATGCTGTTGCCTGGCATCTGTTCAAAAGGCTTCGGCATGATGGTAGTCGACGAGGGCGTCACTCGCTGGCAATTGCGACGACTTCTGCGAAGCTAGATCAAGAAGTGTGACGATGCCTTCCTTGTGCAGAAGCACTTAGTTGTGAGCCAAGAGCATGAAAGGCAGCTTCGTGAACATGAAGATTGATTTACTGTAAGAATACATATCCCGCCACCGATATCGGCCTTTCTTTCAATTGGCGGACTTCATCGCGGTCACCCGCCGTCGGGGGATAAAAGCACGAATTCCATGGACGACATCCCCAGATGTGACATCTTCGACCGATGACCTTCCCTTCCTCCGCACTGTTGTTTTCCTGTCAGCCGACCCCGCAAAATACACCTTTCGTCCCAATACAGAAGTACCCCGATTATTGACGATGAGCGGGTTACGACCCATGAAGGGATGATAGGTGGGCATTCCCGGAAGATATAGCCAAGGCAAATCCCGCCAAGGCACGGGGCTGATGCAATCAGCCCGTCGTCGATACCCCGGATCTCCGAGATATGCACGGCTCGGGTTCCTGCAGGAATTACCGCTGCGACAAACAGGTTGTCGAGCTTGCTGCCATGTGCGCTCCCGCCACTTTCTCACGAGTCTCTGAACAATCTCGCGATAGTCGTCGTCTCGGCGGCTCATCAATCCAACTCTTGTTAGTCTGGTCGCTAGTTACGTGGCGCAAGCATAATTGTTTTCCTCGGACGACGTCATAAACCTTGTCACCCTCATGGCTTGAGCACTTTCAATCGGCCGTCTCAGCCCACCCCGAACTAATTGCTTGGTAGCTGATTGTTCACAGCGTCATGAAAATTGGATCACTGAAGCCGAATAGGGTTTTATTGGGCGGACTATTCGATGACTAGGTTTGGTTGTATCCAAAGCTGAAGTAGATACACACTTTATTGACTCTATGCACAGCTCTACAGGATATATAAAGGAAATGTTTTGTCCCATAACCACATCAACGTGATGCAACCATTATTACATATACACACGCACACGACCCTCAGCTAGACAGCCAGCTTAAGAGCAGGTACCGAAGATGGGCTGGCAGCCGGTGCCGCAGTGAGCAGTCGTGGTTCCGCAGAAGCCGTACTCAGAGCAGCAGGTGCTGTCAGGGCAGGTGTAGCCGTTTGTGCCACCGCAGGAGCTGTCGGGGCTGACGCCGCCGGTGGCAGCGGTCTGGGTAGCAGCGGGGGCGCTGGAGGTGGCATCACCGCCGGAGGCAACGGGGCCGGCGACACCGCAGACGCCGAAGAGGGGCTGGCAGCCGGTACCGCAGTAGGCCTGGGAGGTGCCGCAGAAGCCGTACTCGGAGCAGCAGGCACCAGCCTCGCAGACGTAGTTGTTGGAGCCACCGCAGGCGCCGTCGGGGCCGATGACGCCGGTGGGGGTAGCGGTGCTGGTGATGGAGACGACGATTTTGGAGGCGGTGGCGGTGGGGGTGGAGGTGCGCTTGGTCTTGTACCAGTTGGCCTCGGCGTCGCCCAGGCACTCACCGACGGTGACGGCGTTCAGGCCCTTCTCCTTAATGATGCGGAGGAACTCGGGGACAAGGTACTCGGCGGTGTTCTGGTGAACCTAATGCGGGTGTTAACTGTCTGTGATGAAGGTCAAATTTTGACTGGACTCGTAGTAAACTTACCTCGTGGGCCAGGGCAATGGAACCACCGGCATCGACACCCTTCTCGAAGATGCCGACGCTGGTAAGGTTGCCGAGGGGAGCGTTGTTGGCGTAGTCGAGGGAGTCGATGTCGGCGTGGATGACGTGGTACTCAAGCGCCTTCAGGATGGAGAGGGTGTTGTCGTTCCAGCTGAAGTAAGGAGGGCGCATGTAAGTGGGGTACTTTCCAATGATGTTGATGAGAGCATCCTCGAGCGTAGTCATCTCAGGGATGATGTCGGCATCGCCCAGTGTGGCGAGGTCGGGGTGGCTGTAGGTGTGCGAGCCAATCTGGTGGCCGTCGGCGACCATACGCTTGACGACATCCTGGAAGTTGTTGATGTTGCCAAAGTTCTCGCCGTTGACGAAGAAAGTGGCCTTGGCGCCAGCCTCAGCGAGGAGGTCGAGGACGTGCTCGGTGTAAGTGAACGGGCCGTCGTCAAAGGTCAGAGCGAAGTCACCCTCAACAGTGCACTTGGTAATGGCAACACCGTAGGGGATGTTGGTGGCCGGGGCGGTAGCGCTGGCGGAGGCGGATCCGGAGGCCGTGCTGGAGGTGGAGGCCGGGATGGTGTCGTTGTTGCCAGCGGGGACGGTGGTGCTGGGAACGGCAATGGGCTCGGTGGGAAGAGCAACACCGGGAACGGTGGTGAAGGAGGGAGCAGCGGTGGGGATGCTGGTGTTCTGGGGGAAGGGAATGTAAGAAGAGCCACCAGGAGGCTTGCCCGGGTACGAGGGGACGTTGCCGGCAGGGGCAGAGGCGGCAGCGGAGGGAGCAGCGGAAGGCCACGAGCCGCCGGATCCAGGCTTGCCTCCTCCGGGGTAAGAGCCGCCGTTGGAGCCGCCGTTGGAGCCCTTGTCAGATCCCTTGTCGGAGCCCTTGTCGGAACCAGTGTTGGAACCAGTGTTAGATCCAGTGTTAGATCCAGTGTTGGAACCAGTGTTGGAACCAGTGTTGGAACCAGTGTTGGAACCAGTGTTGGAACCGGTGTTAGATCCAGTCGAGGAACCCGTGGAAGAGCCGGTGTTGGACCCGGTGTTGGACCCAGTGTTGGAGCCCGTGTTGGAGCCGGAGCTAGAGGAGCCAGATCCGGAACCAGTGTTGGAACCGGAGCCAGAACCAGAAGAGCCGGAGCCAGAGCCAGAGCCAGAGCCGGAACCAGTGTTGCCTCCGTTTCCGGGGTTTGACGGGGGAGGATAAGAGCCGCCGGGAGTAGTGGGAACACCGGGGATGGTGGTGTTCACGGGGTAAGGCGGGAAGTGAGCCTTGGTGCTGCTCGGCTGAGGGGCGGGGAGGTCCTCATCGCAGAAGGTCTCGTTCGAAGTCTGGCGGCGGAAGGGGGAGGCGGCCGCTCCGGCCACGAGGAGCGAGGTAGCAACGGTCTTGAAATGCATGATGCGAAAGAATGACTAGTATTATATAAAGAATGACTTTGGTGGTTAGAAACGAGTGACGTTGTCTTACAAGAAGAAGACGGACAGTTGACTAGTAGTGAAGAAGAAGAGGAAGACTAGAAACAATCAAAGGTAGACATGGCGAGCCGCCCATATATCCCATCCGGCTTTGCCAAGTCTCGAGGGACCCCCCTATGCGCCCATGCGGGTTGTCAGCTTTGCAGTACACTAACAACTCCATTCATGTTCATCCCGTTTTGATTGCCAAGATTCACGGCCAAGAACTCCAGTCCCAAGTTCCCAACTCCCCAAACAAGGCCGAGTCATGGTTGGGGTTCCTCGCTTGGGCGTTGCACCGCCCTGCAGGAAAAGCAAAGCAACCTTGTTAGCTCGGCTTGGCGTCCGTAGAGTTGCCCAGCTGGCTGGGAAATGGAAACGGGAAGAAAAGGTCGAAAAGGTCCCGTACATGAAGGGCCTGCAAGTCGCGGGAGATAAGATGAAGGGCCACTGAAAAAGCTGGCCCATCATCCGTGCAACGGTGTTGGGCATTCTGTGCTCCCCGTTGAAGTCCGTCTCACGAGTCACCGTTAGTCTCCTCTTTCACGCTCCCCCAAAGGTGGCGGCCGCTGTTGGCGACGCCTGATGACGACGAGCGGACGCTCAATATGGACGATATAACAAACGGAGGTGCCAAGATACTAAATCCCAAATCAGGGCGGGTCTGGCTTTTAAGAGAAACCAAGGTGATGGCAGGTTGTAGAGGTGTTGTCGCTTTGTCTCCGCCGGTTTGACTTTTCGAATTGTTCTTGGTCAATCTCAAAAGCCTCGATCCAACCAATGAGATCTCGCATGACTCGGTACAAGCCCACTTCGATATCCTTATTAACTAGCTTAATGCTACTTGAACGCGCGCATGGCCCGACAGCTCCGGCACTTCGCCGCTCCTAGCTTTCTTTCAACTTTCAAGGTCACCCTTCAACTGTTCAACAGGCAGGTGGAAAAAAACCCGAAGCTGAACGAAACGGAGAAGTCCATCCTGGTCGAAGCGCGCGCGGAGACGGTCTCCATGGGCCATCTATATAAGATGAAAGCTGTGGCCTCGTTCTGCCTCTCCGAAGGTTTAAACACTGGGCCTTGGACTGGGAAAGCCCACTCTGGGGTTTGTGATTCAGCATAATATCGAATTGTGGCTACCATCACCAACACCACCCCATTGATATTTGATGAAGTGCGACCTCTGCATCTTTCATGATTTCACAACCGACATTGGGCGGCGCGGTAATTTAAGCAGCCCTGCGGCGTCGCATTTTCCTTTTTCGAACACAATCTTCCGCCGCAGGCATGTTGGGAACTGTCCATTGCCTGATGTTGCTGCACGAACAACCAAAGATCTTTTCACGGGCAACGGGGGCCAAGCCCGTAGTGTAAGCCAACGCCGTCAGCCAACACCAGGCACAAGAGAGGGGCCGCTGGACACTCTCAGGGAATCAGAGTCCAGACATCGCCGATGGGTGGTGCGCTTGCAGGGGTCGTCGGTCTGGGCGTCGCTGCGAGCTGTCAGGGGCAGAACAGGGGTTGGCTGCTTGTTTGTTGGAATAGGCGAGCTGTTCATCGCAGGGCAAGCCAAGGCTCCCAGAAGCTCGCATTCGCAAGGTCCAGAATGTTACCGTTGGAGTTACTGGTCATTATCTCAGCAGCCCTTTCCTTCTTCTGGATGGTGATACTTGGTGCGTTGGCGTGGCTGACAACTCCCCTAGCGTGGCTTCTTGTCTCACAGTCTCAGACACTGAAAGGCTTACTTCAATTTCTTGTTTTCAATGCTGTTAAGTTATCGTCGACTTGCGGCTGATGATAGCTGAGATCTGTATCTGTATCTCATCATCTGTACTTCACCGTGAATAGAAACTTTCGCCCAGCCTTCATTGGCTATTCGCCCCTTTATGCTATTCTTGCCTCTCCTCTCGACTCTATTAGCGTCAACTCTTCCTACGTACCGTTAATCTTGGCACTTAGGATGCCACGCCATGAGACAGCGGGGCGCAAACGAGCTTGGCCAATGCACATGCTGAAAGACATGATCTGTGCGCTTTGCGAGCAACTCGCTTCTCATGATGAAATGGAAGGGTTCCCCTCTCAATTAGCAACCAACTTGAAAGTGCATTAGCGACAGGATCAGTGCTTTGTCAAAGATCTTTAATGCGGCAATCTGTTGATTGCTACAGACATACTGCAGTGCAACAGGCACACAGAGCACTCGCTGTCTCCGGCTTCGATGAAGATTTTCGCTGAAAGCACAAGCAAACTGATCAGTACGGACACCGAAGACGAATATAGGCAACCTATTTTCACACACTATCGAAACCTAACGGAACTGCTCTATTTGAGTTCTTGCTGATTGATCATGTATGCTCCCGTGGGCCACCTGTCGCACGTCTGCGGTCCGCCAAAAGTATATTCTGAAGAGCCCACCTTCTAGAACCACAATAGGAAAGTAGCAAGCAGGGTTATCGTTACTTGCCGATCTCGCAGTTACTTTCGGCCACATGCTTTGCATTTCGCTGTTCCCAAGTTGAAAATAAGCTTGATATTCAAATTGGTATGAACGCAAATCACTCTAAGTTTTCCTTAATGCCCGTCACAACCGTCATAGACGGTACAGATAGATGTAACGTCGCTTAAGACTAAATGGCTTCCTCGTCGGCTAGTTCGTTTCTGGAGCGGAATTTCGGAAGTCTATAGACTTGTCCACAATGCCGAGGACATAAGTAAGCGCCTCCTGCCCACCAATTACTGCAAATACATACGGAGCAAAACAGAGAAGAAAAACTTGAAAGTATCATCAACGCCAACACCATAAATGACCCCCAAGGCAGAAAACAATGGACCCTCTGACAAATATGCCCCTAACGCCGCGCCTTTGGTGAAAATCCATGCCGGTAAGGTCCTCAGAGCTATAGTGCATCAAAGTCCAGACAATACTTCAAGAATTATCCTCATCTGGTACGACTGAACCAAGTAAAATTTTGCGCACATCTGCGTCAAAATTCCGTGTGTCAACGATGTCTCTAGTTGGGAGTCAGTGATGATCACCGATTTGTAAAGAAGCTGAGCATCAACTCACATTCCCGTTTGTTGCTTCAAATCGTCATCCAATGCTTTCAACCGAGTCTCCCCGAGCTTGTCATCAGGATTTTCGTTGTCGTCAAAGAAGCGGATGAACTGGACACCGATCCAATTCTGCTGTTCGTTTGTCCGTCGAACATGAGTCACCAAGCGTTTGATCGGTCCATCTACACCGCAGAAATTGTCTCGGTTCTTGAGATTCCAGTGTCCGTTCGTCAAGACATATATGCTGACCGGTTTCTTATTCTGGATAGCCTTACTGACCAACTCGTCCAAACTTGGGGCCATGTTGCATTGATCTTCATGGAATAGCATCTTTTCTATATTATCTTTCAATTCCGAGGTTCTTGTTGATTGGAGTGGAGGGTGAGATGAGGTAAAATAGACTTCAAAGGTTGCATTTGGGTCAACCTCTCCCTTTTTGAGTAAGTACGAGAGGACTTGACAGCTCGCGGCTACTTTCTTTTGATGAGGCTCCATGGATCTCGAGTCATCCACGAGAAACATCTAGAGATATGACTGTCAGTGGACGCAGTGAAACTGGTCTAGGTCATGTATCCATCCTTACCTGATCACGGCCCTTCTCTCCTTTCAACTTCTGCAGGGCTGACACCAGCTGTGGGAACGCCTCAAGGGGTCTCCCTTTGAATTTAGACTTCATGCTTGGAGAGCGTCGGAATCGCGAACGTGAGCGATCTTTACCTTCTATGCATATATTGTAGATGGCTGCCATTGTAATTACACCATCATTGACGTCATGGGGAGAGTTGGGTTCCGTGTTCCATTGAAATTGATTCGGAGGAAAGAGTCCGAGCTGGGATGTGTAGGATGGCAATCTTTCCTGTCGACTTGGGAGACTTTCGTTCCGAAGGACGTCCATCGGAGGGTTGCTGGCGGCGTTCAGTGATATTGGTTGTTCCGGTACTCCCATTACCTCATTTCCCACGTCCATTGGCGTACTTGTTTGGGCTTCGATATTGAGAGCATTTGCAGCATCAACTGGCCCGAACTCCGGTGTTCTGTGCCGATTAAAAGGTCCATGATAGGTTCCAGATGCCGCATAAGTAGCACCTGGCACAGACAAGCGATTTTCGTGGTTCAAAATGCTCTCAGAACCATGATTCGGTCGCTGGGGCACAGTGTTGAACCTCTGAGGCACTCGCGTGTTTCGCCGGTATGCATTTCCCAGGTCAATCTCGTTTCGCATTTCTTCCGGCGACTGTACAATAATTCCAGGACTGGGTTCCGATCTTGATCCGATGAAATGAGTTGCCTCCACTGTTCTTGGAGAGTTCTCAACGGGTAGTTGACTCAGTGGGCTGGTTTCCCCCCTCCGAAATGTGGAATATGGCTCTGAGAATCTGGTTGTAAGAGGGTAAAGTTCTTCGTGTGGCTGAACCAGGTCAGGCCCTTCAAAGACTTTGCTCTTCCATTCGTCATGAAGCTCAATGGCTTCGAGCCTTTTTCTTGGGTTCATAGAGAGCATGCGGGTAAGCAGAAATCTGCTCACTGCCAAAAACCAATGAGATTCTTCCCCAGCGAAGCTACTTGCTCTCTGAAGCCATGCTTCAACTGAGTTCAGAAGGCACGGCCCGTCTGGATCTCCGTCATGGAAAGATCCCTCATGAAAGCCTCCTTTTAAGCGGGACCTGCGAGTCTCAATAACTCGATCCTTCTGGTAAAGATCACGTCCATACTCTCCCCACCTTGTCCAGACGAGAGCTTCGCTAGCAACGGCTCCGAGAGAGAATACATCGCTCTCCCATCGAATTGCCCTGGAGTCTCCTTGATCCCTGTATGCCTCTGGGGCACCTGTAAAATCCAAAGTCAGCTGATCCAGAAGGTGTGATGTCAATCATTTAAGGTACATAGCAAGCACTTACTGTACATCCCGTTACCCCAGTTGTCGTCGGCGTTCAGTTCCATTCCTTGGTTTCTTGACCTACGAATATGGCCAGTTCCCATATCCACAAATTTGAATTTTGCAGCGTATACGTTGCCAGACTGATCAGGGCAGACCAGGATATTCTGTGGCCTGATGTCCTGGTGAGTTCTATGATTGTAGATAATTAGCTCAACATGAAACTGGTCAAGCGTGATATGTTATGGAGACAGACCCTCTGAGTCCCCAGGACCCTTTGCCTCCTTGAGTTTCCTTGAGATTGTGAATTGCGTGCAGACCGCCCAATAGATCCATCAAGTTGTTCCAGAAGAGGACACGGTCTGAACGAGCTAAAGGAGGAGGACACGATTCAAAGAAAGACTTCAGATTCCCGCCTCTGGCGTACTCAAGTATTACGGTTCGTAGACCAGGAATTTCGAATGAGCCGAAATATCTAATGACGGACGTGGAATCGTACAGAGTCGGTTGTGCGTCCAGCTGCGTGTACATATTCACTTCATTTTCGTAGGTTTGAATCACCTCTGGGTCTTCTCCATGATAGGTTTTAAAGACCACCTCCTATTAGAACTATATCAGAATCCGAGTCTTTTATTCAGTCTAGCGATTGCGCGGTAGTGTGTATTACCTCCTGGTTAAAGCACAGCGAATGTAGCGTTACTCGGAAAACGCAGACTCTGTCGTCGTAGGTGGTCCCTGAGTGTTTGATCTGTTCTTTGGCGATGATAGGGATGATCTGTAGCGGTGGGAGATGTCGTTTGTGAGGTTTGCCTCTCCCTTCGGTATCGAACAGGAAAGGGCAGAATCTCCACTGTTCTTTCTCGAATTCCTCAAAAATACTTTTCTCTGCGGCCTCGGAAAACGCATGAGGTGTCTCTCTCAGTGGTAGTAATCCGTCATGAATAGACTCTCCTGTGAAAAGCGAAATGTGCTGGGGTTGCGACATGTAGACGAGGATGGAGAAGACTTGGATGTAACCCCTCTGAATAGTGGAAGTGCTGTCTTTGATCCAGTCTTCTCGACCAAGGAGAACGCCTTCCACATTCTCCGCCACCCAGAAGCTGTCCAGCGCACATCGGGGAACAAAATCAACAAGCCCGTCCTCGTACCCTCTCATGCCACGGCAGCTACGCTCGGAGACGTACTGATCTACATATCGCTTGAATTTTGCAATGATGTTGTCTGGCTTCATCTTTCTTCGATTGAGAACTTTAGGAGCTAAGAAGAAATGACAAGTGAGTGCTCTAACAGTGAAAGAACTTCATGCCAAGACTCGGGTTTTGAGGGTTAAAGATGCTCTTGATTCTCAATTTGACTAGGCGCTTGAGGTAGTGACGAAGATTGTCTTGACTTTGAAGCCACGGAATATCAACGCCGTCGATTTCAAGTCCAGGCGTTTTTATCCCAGGGGGGCTTTCAGAAGGTTTGTGGGGATAACGGCGAGGCAACCAATGCGGCGAATTTCATCGTTTTAACTGCCATACCGTTGGCGAACCAATAAGGCAATAAACGCCTGATAGGCATCGACTCAGGTCAGACAGACTTGGTGCGCCTGGTCTGCTTTTGGCGCGGATTCCTCCTCATTATTGGCCACATTCGACGTGACAGGCTATGACCATGAGGGACAACTTGCATAGATGGGCTGGTTTTATTGATCCTTCCCAGCAGAGACAAGCGTTCCATATGCAGCCTGTGCCAAAAGTTGTGGCAGGCCAAAAATTCAGAATCAATGTTCCTTGCTCGTCGCTGAGCGGAAGAATCGGCATCCTGCAGGTCTCGGTGGCGTTGTCTGACGTGCAGCCTGGCCTCCATCTCTCAGCCCCGAGCGAAATAGCCAATGAGTCCCTCAAGTGCGGCCGATTCTCCCGCCGTTCTAAGCTCGCGCGACTAGACCTGCAAGGGGTGAGGCAGAGGAGCCGAGGTGAGCACACATATTCCAGATAACTATAGAGGTAAATGCGGCGAAACTTTTGGTACCCTTTGCACCTTTGTAGCACTCAAGGTGGGAAAGTTTGCAAGGAAAAAAGAAGGGTTCGAAAGTTATAAAAAGAAGAACCTCTCATCTGAGGAAGTCCTGGTCCCTCAGTTTAATATGGTCTTAGCACAGGAATGAAAAGCACTTTTTCGTATCATCATTGGGACTGTGTTGGAATCTTTCGACACATTTTTACAATATAAAGGGATGGTGCCTAGGACGAGAGGCAGGTGAGCAGGTGATGCTGCTGACCTTGCTTGAGGGAAGGAGAGGTGGGCCTCTTCTTGCCCATGTCGGAGTGTGACGTCGAGGAAGCTACGTTCTTGCTGCACGGAGATGCGTCGGAAAGTCCCTGCCCACACTCCTTTGAAGCAAGCTCCGTCGCTACACGTCTGCTCCATGGTAGACCTGCGGGAGCAGTGATGAAAAGCAAGCAGGAACAGTGATGAGAAGACAATCACGGAGCCGTTTCCCCTCGGGGGGGGATCGTAAGACTTCTAGGATTTCATATCTGAGTTCTCTCGATCTGGCCCACAATTCCACAGCTCCAGATCATGCGTTTCCAATGGAACGATTTCCCTTGCTCTGTTGACAGCCCTCCAGACGTAGTTCGTCGTTGTTGATTCGTATTCCCATTTTATGAGTTCTCTGCGGCCCAGATTTGGAACAATATCAAAAGGAGATGGCGAATGAGAGAGTGGAAGGCGTGCTTGCCTACGAATTATCTACTTGAGTAAGCCTTCCCCGAGGATCATCCCGAATTCCAGAGGATTCTCACTGAGCAGGACCAACTCTTGCCTCGACCTTCCGCAACGTCAATGCATAGATGCTTCCATCGTGCGAGAATTGTTGGTCTAGTTGGTTTGACCAAGAAAACGGAAAATCGTGAAGGCCGGTGTTCGATTATCCTCCGATGCGAACGCTTCTACTTGTTTTGCCCCAGCGGCCAAACGATGCATTCTGGGACCAAGTATACAGAAGTAATGTGACGAGAAATGCGATTCTTCTCGTGCCAAAATGATCCCCAAATGAGCAAAAGACGAACCCCCGGCAACCTTTCATAGAGTCAAGTGAACGTGTTCCTCGGTCGACCATCCTTAACCCTCTACCCACTGTGAGCGGAAGCCCAGTTAACATCCCCTGTTTTACATCATTGGGATGACTCGTACTGTGTTAGATATTTTCCCAACATTTTCCTTTACTTACCATCTTCAGGCCTTTTGGGGGGAAGGACGCACTGCCTACGGAGTGTGTGGTAGGTCCTTCTAAGGAAGTTGCCGGTTCGAGAGGACGGGAGGGGAGGAAGGAGTGGGAGCATGGACGATGCTTTGAGAGGCAGCAACCACCAATTGCAGAGACCCGGCCCAAGGGAAATCTAAGGCAAGAAAGGTCAACATTGAGACATGGAACTCTAGTATTCCAACGGCCGACCTGTCAACAGATCTCAGACCGATAGATGACGGAATGTAAACTATTGGATTATTCTTGGACGACTTCAAACGCAGAAATATGCAGCTGTCTGTTCGATTACACGTGCCATCTGATATCTGGCAGAAGTACGAACTGGTTCAAAACGCGAGACCTTAGAAGCTAATGATTTGTCCGGGCCGTCAACCCTTTAAAATTTAGCAAATGGCGTCGACTTAACACGGTTAATGGCACCTGACCATATGCATTCGTCTCTAGCGGCATCAAGTATCCCGAGATCTCAAGTGCTAGCTCTGTACGGGAAGTGCTCTTCGAGAAACCTCTGTCTGCACTGGCTGCCTACATTCTGCCTCGGCTCCCGAGCTTCATCCCAACCTCCCCCGCTAATGCTGTAATGTCAATTTGCGCTAGAAGCCTGCTACTGGTGGCCATGCGTGCTTTGGGGCGTGCTTTGGGGTGAACATGCAAGAGGCAGACAAATTTCCATGTCAGTCATTTATACATTCATTACATCCAGTGGGGACAAGGCAGCGTGAATCTAGCAAGATACGAAACATCAACAAAATAGTTCAGAATTTCCTTCACCGGTAGTCATTTTTATTACATGATGTCTATGATAAGTGAATTCTTACAATTTCCCCCGTGCACTTTTTCTCAGTCTTACACACATGAATAACCAGCCGCCGATGGTTGCCGCGGTCAGAGGACCACAGAAGCTTAAGAAGAGCATTAAGCTATCACGCTTCCAGATGAATGGTCTTGTCATGTCGTCTGGCCCATCTTCTTTCCAAAGCAACACTCCACTCTGGAAGAAAGTCTACCATTAAGTCAGAGGTTCATATCATGCCGGCAGTATTCGGGTAAGCAGTTCTTACTGCAACGAAAGTGGCCGGCAGAAAGATTAGTGTTGCGATCGTGATGACATGCATCGACGTCGTTTCCTTTAACGTCTTGTCTGTTATGACTTGCATCTGCTTCGTGTTCTCGTGCGCTATTTCCGCGAACCAATTACCGATATGACTGGTACGCTGCTGGAGTAATCGCTCATACTTTGAGGTCCCATGTTAGCTTAAGAAGGCTTTCTTTCATTCTGCTTCTGATGGTATGCTCACCAGCTGTATGCTTTGACCAAGGGTGATGGCCAAGCAGCGCATTTGTTGCAGTCGTGTTTCCAATCTCCTCGCGATAGATTGGACTTCTTTGATGAAGTTGCTGATTGCTCCTTCACATGCAATCTTTCCGCGAAACTCGGCGGCGGCGGTGTGACTGTAGAATGTGCAGATGTCACTAAGGACACCAATATCAAGTTCCAGAGCTAGAGAAGCTCGATGAATGATTTCAGAGTGCTTGTGCAAGGTCTGCACGTCTTTGAACCGAAACTGGTTGAGAACCTCCCATGTGTCTGGCTGGGGAGGCGGTGAACTTGTGTCCGTAGTACAAGCAGTGCAATGGCCACCGAGCTCCGGATCCGTCTGTTTTGACTTCTCCTGTCTCAGCCAAGAGCTCAGAGTTGAAGATGTCCCGTTTGCCATCCGGGATAACATTGACATCTTGTTCTTCTCAGGGTCAATAGTGGTGGTCAAAGTGCCCGACATGGGTTGACTGTGCGAGTACATAGTTTGGCTACGGGAGTCTCTCAAAGGCTTTGGGAACGCACTTAAGAGGCTGGACTCCCTGTCAATGAGGTCATCGACAATCGCTTTGCTGGCTGGCGTTACAATCGCTCGAATCCCTGCCTCGGTCTCGTTGATGAACTGTCGCCAATTCTCATCGCACCAGCAGAGGTAAACCAAGTGAGTAGCCAATGACGCCTGAAGATAGAGAGAAACATCTCCATCTTGTGTTTCAGTCTTGGTTGGAATTCTGAGGAGAGGGCTTGTTTTCTTGATCCGGTCTTCAAAAACATCGTCTGCCTTGACGGTGAACCAAAAGGCCCGTCCAGTTTCCACGTCGAAGGAGTGATAGTTCGCAACTTGACGAATCTGCCAGTCCCAGACCCCTTTGCCACTTTCGGAAGATTCGACGGAGCGGAGAAGATAAGACAGTTGTATTTCGCGACCGGAACGGCCGATCTTAGGAAGCTCTGGGAGGCCTTCAGTGAGACAGTTGAGCGTGTCGCTGCCTTTGAACTGAGCCAGACAGAGATCGAGAGGCTCGCTCTGTCGTCCGAAGGCGTGTACTGGCTCCAAGAAGGAGGGGTTGACTTGGTGATATGAGCAAACTAATTTGAACATATCCATAGAGCAACTCAACGGCGATCTCGAGTTATCTGCGCTAACAAAACTTTCCGTGGTGGTCAGTAATTTTCAACCAAGGGTTGAAGGGGTATCATAGCTTACACGTGACGAACGTGCGGGTCTTGATCACCGCGGTGCAGGTGTGACCAAAGGGTCTCCATATCCCAAATGGCTTCTTCCTCATCAGGGAATTCTACTGACATCAGATCAGGAGCCTAAATTAAGAAAGTACATGGTTTCTTACGATTTCGTCTTCCAGTCTCCCAGAACGTTATCACAGATGCCGCGCGGTCAAACAAGGAGCACTCCCTCTCTAGGAGGCTTCTATATTGCCGTTCACCGAAGAGAGCTTCATGAGGTTCTTGTTTCCTGAGCTGTACTTGAGGATATTCGTCGGAATTACGGCAAATCTCCGTGAACCGATCGTACGCGTCTTGTGTCTGCATGTTGAGAATGAAGGTTTCATAGAACAGATACACAGAAACCTGAGGCAGGATCTGGACAAAGCGTCTACAATAGGTGTAAAGATAACGACAGGAGTCGGCACAACCAGGGGGTCTTCCTTAGTATTCTGAGAATGCGTCGCCAGTGGGCCGAGCCTCAGGAAGATGGATGACATTTAAGTTTGAAGAAAAGTACATGCAATAATTCCATTTCGGCCCGGGTGGCGGGGTCGCTAAAGATTGTCAGATTCTCACTGGCTAACGTATTCGGTGTTTGCCTTGCAGAGGTGCACACCTCGAACACCGCCTTTCCGTTGCACATTAGCAGCACTGGATTCATGCAGGATTGTGCCTTAGGTAACGTAGTAGACATCGATTACTGAAAACCCTTCTGCTTATGGACTTAATGACCCGAATAAATACTCTCCCTTCATGAGGCTTAGAATACCATATCGTGCGTCCGGGCGTGGTTTAGGCAAGAGACACGTCCGGTGCTTGATTGCTGTCTCTAGAGCCTAGCCTAAAACTAGCCTAACCTCGGTTTCTTTTTTTTCTTGGTATAACCAGATGTTGAACGTCGTCCTTTATGTCGCTTTGGTTAGTTTTGAGTAGCCCAAAGTCTTGAGATACTGGGTTACCTGAGTGATTGCTATTGTGGCCGTAATCACATAGTCGCCATCCTTAGACTGTCTAACATTAGCTATATCTCCACTAGAGTCTCCGTCTGCCTCTTCTCTACCACTGTTGCTGATCATCATGTCCTTTATCTCTCCCTCTTTACCCTGCCTCAGCCTCTCTACCGTCTATACCTATTGTCTCCGTCTTTCTCTTTGTCCCCATCTCTCGGCCTCTATGCATTGTTTCCGTAGGTATTCTCGTGTATTACCTTTATTATCTCATATAGAAGGATGAAACATGCTTACTGTGAGGCTAAAGTTGCCCGCGCCTCGAGTGTTCTGGAGCCAGGCCTCAAGAGCATCCCTCCGAATTCTGTATCCATTGATGGTCGAGACTATCATTGCGCGACCGATTCATTGATTCCATGCGGGGTCCGATTCAAGAGAAGACCAACAACGGCGAGGCACATTTGAGGAATGACAAGAGCTGAGCCCCATAATTAAGTGTTGAGTCGCCCCGAGGCTCAATGCAGGCTCCTATACTGATCACATCGCCACCGGTCCGGAACGGACCAAATAGGGGAAGGGGGAGTTGGAAGCCTACGCACCGCCTGTTATTAACAGGACACGAAAGCACGTCAACTGCGACTTTATTGGTCGCCTGATATCTCACCGGCTGTGATCGGGCGCATTGCTTCGGCCGTCTTGGGGCTTGTTGGATGTTAGACAAAACCCCGCTTCAGCAGGCTGGCTCGGCTGGTCAGCGTTACCATGCACGGCACTTCTACCTGCATCAGTTGTCTCACCGGCAGGTTAAGTGATAACCACGGCACCTGTCTGTTGTCCAATCAAGCAGATTGTTGCAGCACACCTCCGCCATCGCTGACTTGGTCTGGACCGCTCCTATCGTCTGTGTCAGCTTCGTGAAATAGATGCCTTACCGCAAGCGACAGGCGCTCTCACTCGAGCTGAGCCACCCGCCAAGATAGCCTGCTTATACAGAGTGGCATAGCGTACCAGGTTCTCTTGAGGAAGTAGAAACGGAATGACTCCAAAGGATCTGATACTCCTACCTTTGAGATGCGGGCAGCATGACTGACCCTTGAGGAATTCATTACGTTTGGGGAAAGGTGACAGAAGGGGCCCTTTTATTTAAGTGATTCAGTTGGATCATGGATTGTAGATTTTCTACGAGGCAAAACACTAGTAGAGATGGTAGATCATGAAACGATTTGATATCTCATAGCACCTTGATCCTGACTTGTAGGTAGTGAGAGGTTTCATGATAATGATGTGCTATAGTTCATGACTTCTCAGTCTTGCTTACTCTCAATACCACCAGCAAGCAACTATGGGTTCATAATTTCCCACTACTAAGGTAACTCACAAACGAGGACACGAACAAGATCGAATATATTTACGAACGTCCACCAGCTTGGTTCGGGCGCAACCAAAGGATCGATCATCCATGAATCATTTCTGTCTACCCAATTTTGTGCCGAATCCTGAACCTCTTCGAGGAAGTCCAGGGCCCCCAAAGGCTTATTTCTGTCCATATAAAATTTGAGTAGTAGACTTCATTGAACCTGCGGTCGCCGCAGATAAACGACTTATGAATTTCAGCACCAGGCTTTAAGCAGATACCATAGTCAATGAGATAGATTTGCGTCGGGTCGTATTGATACCCGTTGTCCACGGCTTCCAAAAGTAGCCTCTGATATCTTTCTGGTTCATAAGAGACACGACCGATTCTCTACAAGAGTTGAACATCCAGTAGTAATCATATTCGAAGACCATACCGCGGGTTCCCGTCAACTATGCCCGAAAATCGGGACTGGTGGTTTCGAAAGGGAAACGAAGAGGTCTTGGTATGGCTGCCTCCTTTTTTTTTTTCAAAGCTGATAGCAGAAGAGTCTACAATTAAAGATCACGGCAGACTCCCATCCATCTGTTTTCTGTTGCCAAATTTGACCGGTCGTTGATGGGTCTGTTTCGTCGGCGGAGCTACTGTCCACAGCTGGCGTCCCTTGTAATTTTTGACTGTCAGAGGTCTTGAACATCTTGTTCCCGGACCTTTTGTGTACGCAGTCTTTGATGGCCTTCTTCAATGCCGTCTGAGACTCCTTAAACGCCAGCCAAATACTAGCATCAACGAAATGCATTAGCGGCGTGCCATACACCGAGAATTATTTGCAATCTCTGGGCGTATGCTTTAAGGATTTCAAAACTTCTGGAGATTCCCTAGCCTTTTCGACTGCATCTTGTATGGCAGCTTCCTTCTCCAAAGTTCGCGGCAACTTGGCAAACAGTGGCTGCCCTTCAGCGTCTAGCTGATACAGAGCTTGTTCCTAGATGCGGAAACGCAATTCAAGAGGTAGTTGTGGGAACTTGTGGAATATACCAGCTAAGTTGGCTGTCTTCAACGGTGTTGCGGCACTGCTTTGTGCTGATTTCGGATGGGATTCCATCTTGTGTAGTTGTTTGGATCTTTGGTGCTATTGATCTGGGGGAATGGGGGTGGATTGCGTAGTAAGTTTATGTTTTGTCGTCCTGTCTCCTTGAGAATGTAGCAGGGAAGAAAAGAATGGTAGCAAAACAAATGGCGTAAAAAGTTTCCAGTTCTTATGCTCATCAAGTACCTTGATGATGGGTTTGGCAAAGCGGGTGGCGGGAT